TTTGGGGTGTGTGTGTGTGTGTTGTGTGTGTGTGGTGTGTGTGTGTGTGTGTGTGTTGTGTGTGTGTGTGTGGTGGAAGAAATACAGAAGAGTGAAGGACAGACCAGGCACAAAAAGAGAAGAGGTATTTACTTCAACACTGTGAACTGATCTGTATATCAGCCTGTGTAAAGGTGCTCAAGAAAATGGGTTCTGTGGTGTGTGCAGTAGATGTTGTGTGTGTGTGTGTGTGTGTTAGCGTGAAAGTGAGAGGATGTGTGTTGCGGGGCTCGTTCTCTTGCACAGCGGGCAGTCGTGAGGTAGGTTGGACCTGAGAAAGGGGAAGCAGAGGAAACCTCCACGAAAAGCCATCTGCAGACATGGCTGACTGATTTTACTCCATTCTCTCTCTCTCTGTCTTTCTTTCTCTCTCTCTGTCTCTACTTTTTGATATTTGTACAGTATTATTAGTTGGTATCTTTCTCTACCACTCTAAGATATAAGACCCCGTGTCAGTTTTCTACATTTTAACAGACTACATTTTCTGTTAGCACATTAATATGGGGGTCTGTCCCTTATTACTCTGTGCAATTTTGGGCTGTCCCAGACAAAAGTTGACAGTTGTGTAGGATACACGGCCAAAACCTGAAGTTGCCAATTTAAAAACGGTGGTCCTAGATACACTGACAGCCAATTTACAAAGCAACCAATCATTATATGACATGAAGTGACACAGAATACACTTGCCTGTTAGTGCTGCACTGTATATTGGTGCCACAGCTGCAGGCATACCTGCACTGCCTTTCATGCAAACTATAGATGTAGGCTAATGAATAGGTTGCACTTGACGCTTCTGCTCTTCCTCTGCATAGTTGAACACCCTCATTTATAGACCAGTGAACATGTCTAGGATTTTTATTTAGACATCAGGTGATAATAGATATAGAGACAATTGCAGGCAACTGAGCAGTTGGTGCTGCGTTCTTGCTTTGGGGGGGCGGGCGGGGTTAAACTTCACCGGTGCATGACTGAAGAGAAGATAAACTTTTTTAGACCCATCTCATGGTGTGACATTCAATGAACTTGTGAGCTGGGCTGCCCCCATTAAAGATTTTCCTAGTCGACTAGTCACTTCACGTTTATGATAGTAATTTAATAATTTAAATACATATATATTTATTGCGTGACTGTTAAATGCTAACGGAAAACGCAGTAATGATTCTGAATGTGTCAGGACAACCAGCAAGGAGACATTTAGTTAATTAATTTCAGCACAGTGTAACATCACACAGTCAGCACTGTGACTGGGAACACGGAATAATAACTCTACAAAAACAGATACTCGTGGACTTTCGATACGACAGCTGATGTTACGTTAACCTACAAATTAACTCGCTCCTCCCCAATTCACGGCTCTCCTGAACCCGTTGTGTCTTCATCCTTCCCAGAGTCAGAGTCCTGGTCGGAGCCACTGTTAATCACCTGTCCTCCGTCGGCCTCTGAGGCAGTGAACCTGATTCTTTTGCACGCTCGCCTCGCTCCGGTTCTGGTGCTCATTCTCTAATGCTAGCTCCTATGCTAGTAGTGTAAACAAACCTCCCCCTGTCCTTCGGGCTCCCAGTCCGGGTATATACTGTGTTACAAGAAGCAAAGGTGATTTTTCTTTCTGACTAATAAGAAATGGGTCGACTTAGACTCTTCTCAGCGACTAACGGTTTAGTCGACTATTTGGGGGTGCAGCCCTGCTTATGAGACTGTTTTCACACAGTCCTAGATCTGTTCGAGAGTTGCCCCCAGTTTCCTCATCTTATCCCCCGTATCAAAGTCACTTCCAAGGGCCTCAAACAGGACCGACATGTCTCCGAATCACTCAAGCTGACCTCTAAATAACAGCCACAAGCACGGTGCTCTTTCAAGCTCAGTGGTTTATGTCTTAGAAATCAAAACTCTGTCCGGAAAAGGCAAATCACTGCGAATGTTGTGTAGTTTGCACAAGGTTTTACTCAAATCTGACTGTTTTTTTCTAGGATCTCACTCTATTTTCCCCTTGTCTTGGGGCAAATCACTCCTCCTGTTCGGTCTTTTGATAGCATAGATACCTCTTTCTCTCTGCCTCCCTCTCCTTTTACTATCTCAGTCCTAGTTTCTCTCTCTCTCCCCTTCTGTTCCTCTCTCAATCCAATTCAAGGGTGTTTTATGGGCTCGACAGTAAAGAAACCTGTGTTGGCAAAGCAATATAGCATTATTAAGAATAAATGTAGCATTAATATTATTTGAATTCCCACTCCAGGCATAGTCTCTCTTTACTTCTCCCTCTGATGTTTTGGAGCATCTGTCCTCTACCAGGTGGGGGTGAAGAGTAATGGTAGCGAGGTGTGATTATTTCGACAGCAGTGGAGGATATAGCTCATTTGTAACATGCCTGCTAGAGGGCTGTATGGCCATATACAGCACCAGAGTGGGGATAATTGCCTGCTCCCCTGTTGCTCTCTCTCTCTCCTCCTCTACCTGTTCCCCATGAGCATCACACTTTTACCCCCCATTGTCACTCCATCTTCTCAGCTCCAGCTGCATAGGAGACTGTCGTTTCCGCCGCAGGGCTCATTAAAGCCTGCCCTGTACTGAAAGCTCAAGGGGGGAGTTGGCACTCGAGGGTGACATGACAGTCATTGGCACTGACAGCAGTTTAGTGACAGCTCCTTAATGCCGACAGTCAGATGGACAGGTAAACATCTAAACAGAGAGAGGGGAACGTGAAGGGAGGCGGATGGAAGGAGACAAGGAAGGTCAGAGGTAGTGCAGGAGCTCAGCTGGTGGTTTCTACATCCTCATACTCTGTACCACGCACACACCTTAGTGGGAATAAATCCTGCTCATTAGGGCAGCTCGATGGAAGTAGAAAGACAGACGAACAGAGACAGGCGCTGGAAATAAGTAGGAGTGGAAGAGAGAAGGAGATGATACGGCGAGGGAAAAAGGACAGCGAGAGAGGCTGTGACACCCTCATCATATCGGGGGAAGGTACCAGCGTCTGTGGAAAGGTCAGGAGATGATGAAGCCTTTGCTAGCATTTTCCTCTCTCTGTTAGCTGTGTAGGGCTCCCAGGCAGCACGCTGAGAGTCCTCCTGCCTCTAAAGACTGAAAGCTGAGCCTCGTAAGGAATTCTCCCCCCTCTTTACCTTCAAGCTGCAGGTGTGAAGAGCTCAGATGAGAGTTGGTTTTGCAGAGTGCAGC